TTAGGTCTAGTAATTTAGGAATTTCTGTACTTTTCTGCTACAATAACTTTAATGAACTGAATTTATTTGAAAAGGTTCGTATTGAAAGACCACTATTGTCATCATTAATTAAAATAATTTAACTCATAGATTAGTCCGCTTTTAAACAGTTTGGGAGGGATCCTGGTGCAACTGATTACCCGCACTATGCGAGGTATTCCTGTATATGGATATATAGGAAACATTAATTTCATTTGTTTTAGAAGCTTCATTATATTTTATTACTTTTGATTAAAAAAATAGTAATAATAATTATATATTGATTTTCCAATATTAAATGTTCAGAAAAGTTGTTTAATTCATGAATCATATCTCTTGAAAAACTTCTAATAAATCTTCACTTAATTAATAACTTTTGTAAGTAACTTAACTTACGTAATTAAAAAACAATTAATTGAATTATGTAATTATTTTTAAACAGAAAATTAAGTTCAATAAATAGTTTTTTTTTTAAACTAAAGAAATAAAGTGATAAATAAGAAGAACATTAGCATTAGTTCTTAATATACATTGAATATTTACTTATACTATTTTTAAATTAAACCACATTTTATCTACAATGAACAATTTACTTAATTAGGTTTTACCGTTTTATTAAAAAGCAGGAAGGAAACGATTTTAACGCCACCGATAACCGCTGATTAATATAAATGGTGGAAGGATCTAGTGGTTGAAATAAATAAATGAATCATTCAATAAATACATTCGCGTTGTTGTTATTATTATTGTTATAATTATCGTTGTAGATTCAAGTGAGACCAAAAATATTGCCGATTTATAGCCGTCAAAGTTTCCAATGGAAATTGGCGAGTTCCTAGCTTTCACTTCTGATTTCTTAGCCGTACCTCTCTTGCACTCCGATAATTACGACAAGAAAGCATTTGCATGTACTTTTATTTCCATGCAATTTACTGAATGGCCTTGGCGGAGGTTAAGGGAAAACATCCATCCAAGTGGAACGCTTTTCTTCCTTGTTAGATCTATAGTTGGAATGTTCGCACTATGATTTTATATACTGTTAAACATTGTATTTTTTTTTTTGATAAAATCGTAAATTCTTCAACTACAATTTAGATCTGTATTCAATACGTGTATTGTTTTCTAAAGGAGATGTGAAGATAAACGGTACTGCAAATTACTATTATTGTTGTCTCATATTCCAATGAGATTTTGAATGAGTCATGTTTGTATTAAATTTGCATATGAAACTTTTTTTTGTAAATTTCCAACTTTGACGTATTCTAGAAACAAAATATTCAATTTTACTTTACACTTACACACGTTTCCTTCTAAAACAAAGTGTAATATTCTATTTATTAGCATGACATTAGTATTCCTAATATATGTTTATTTTTGTTCTGTTTGATTCGGTTGGAATTATACATGTGAGTTTCTTATTTTACACATGTTTTTCTGTAATGCTTTTTAAAAAGAAGTATTTTATGTGTTTTCACTAAGCGATCCATATTTTTAATTTATTTAATAAGAAATTTAGATTAAATCAATACAATTATTCCTATATTCATTGATCAAGCTGATCAAGCCAGGCCCTTTGTGAGCCCCCTCGGTGCTTGCAGCAATAGGGCCATCGTTCGTCAGAGATGGACAGTCAAATGAATAAGGTTCAACATATGGACCTTCAGCCAAGTTGATGGACAATAACAGTGTTAAGGATAGCAGCAGATTCACAGTCAGAGGAAATAGTGGAATCGCAGAGATGTCCACATTGATGAACAGATTGTGAATAAAAACACACGACATAAAAAAATATTCATTGAGATAAATTCAGTGGAAGATACAAATTTTAGTTATATAACCAATGACACATTTTGTATTTTGTAAGTAAGAATATAAATTATTTTAATGATTTTCAAGAATTTTCAATGAAATTATTGCAATTATCCATAAATTAATCAAGAAATATTACATGTATTTGATATTGTGAAATTTACTTGCAATGATTAATAGAAATAAGGCGTTTAAAGGACTGACAAATCCGGCTTTGATCGACCCTCTCATTGCTGGTATTCCCAATGCGATCTCACGCCTCTTTTCATTGAAGAAAACAAGTCAGTCCTAAATTATAATAATCAATGAAATAATAAATACTGCACGACGGGATATTTTGTTTTATACATGAATTATTGTTATATCTGTATACATTTAACAGCGACATATGTAAATACACGCTAATTTACATTTAGTTGTATTCGAAATGTATAATAATTGTCTCAATTGTAATTAATGTCGCTTGAAATGAATGTGTTTTGTTTTTGTAACTTTCTTTGTAATTACTTGCATTTAGTTTATAAATCAACATTTCTTTAAAGAAAGTTTGAAAATATTGATACAATTTGTAATCAAATATTGATGTGATTGCTTTAGTCTAAATTGTTATGAATAAAGTTTTCTTTGTATGCTAAAATTTTAATTATTCTTAATTGGACTATATAATTATTTTATACAATTTATATATAGAGTGTGTCCAAAAAGAAATATATGTATTATATTCAGTATATTCAGAAATAATTAATATTTATATTACAAAAGAATCTGCATAAAATTTTCAACTTTACCTTCTACTGCTGATGTTAAAAATTATTAATGTTCTGGCCAATATACTGCTGATAACGATTCGCTATTGATTCATTTAGTATTGTGGCGCATTTTTGCTCAATTACGGCTTTTAATTCTTCCATTGTCTTCTGTTTTCTATCATTTACATCTTAAAATGCGATTGAAACTTCTTCTTAATAAGCTCACGTCTGGGAGACCTCTTCTACACTTATCAGGTTCCTTACGCCAGTGCTCCCCAACCTTTATATCGCCGCGGATCGGTCAATTTTTTGATAATTTTACCGCGGCCCGCTGAGGGGTAGGGACGTTGATACAGTTACACCAAAAAATGAATATAGAATGATTTAACATTAACCTTACGCCATTCGGACACTAGATTTGCTAATGCCAATCTCACGACTGATTTGTCTTACAGATGTTTTGGATGTTTGCCAATAACTTTTCAGTAGTCTTTATTGGCTGGTAAAACTCGTTGATGTTCTTGGTCTTCCTGAACATTCTCTATGAATATCTTGAACAGTTCCATTCGTTTTAAACTTATAATTTATCTGCCTGAAACTTTCTGCTGCGAAATTGTCTATGTACGTACTTATGCTACATTTTCATACTTCATGTATGAAAAATTAAAAAATTATGACCAGTTAAGTAATATATACATTTTTCTGTATATCATTTTAGAGACAATATAATAAACAAAATATATGAATTTTACTCGTGAAACTACTTAGAATTTTTTTTTGGTCACAATCGTAATAATAAAATTTAAAAGTTTTGTAACTACACCAGAAATATATACACTTAAAATTTAAGATTTATGAGTATTTTTCAGTTGCAACTGATTCCAGTAATAAATTTAGTATAAAAAAAAATCAGTAAAAATTTCAGAAGTTTTCATAATCTAGAAATTGTCATAATTGGCAATTCTATTGTTCTACATAATTTTTTTTTTTTTTTTTTCAAAATTTGTAATCATCCTAGGAAAAACAATAAAGAAGGACTGTTAAAATTTTCTTGTTTTTTTTTCAGTCTTTTGACTATAGATTTTTTAATTCTATGGTCTTATTTTTTACTTATAATATATTTGAGTGTTAAAGTCTTGAAATTTCATCAACTAAATTATATAGTAATACAGTAATATACAAAATGGAGATTTGTAAACGTTGCACATACATAAATCTCGGCGTATCCCAAAGGAAATTTGCAAATTAGTAGCTTTCACATTTAATTTCCTGCGTCTGCAATTCCTGACGTACATGCAATTTCAACGAGAACTAATTATTCGAATTAAATCGAAAAAACTATATTCAGAATGATTAAGCGTCGTAAATGAATGATATATGTATGTCATTCATTGTTCGTGTATGAAAAGTAATCATAACGCAATTATATTTATAATTGCTCCATGAATTATTTTATTTCCTGCGACGACAATAAATTCTTAAAATTAAACGAAAATTTACTTTCATTGAAAGAAAACGATCTTTATCACATTGATGTTGACAGATTAAATCAAATACTAAACAATAAGTGATAAGTGACAGTTAATATATATATAATGCATTTATGAATATCCTTAACCCAATTAGTCATACCAGATGTGTCTAATAGTATACATTCAAATACGTTTGTTTTCTTGTTTAAAAGAACTTATTTCACAATAATTTGCATTAATTGCGAAATATAGTATAAATGTTATATATAAACCAATTGATGTCATTTCATTTAACAAACTGTTATTATTTATCAACATAACATTACATTATTAATTAATAACATTATGCTTTTAATGAGTTTTTTTTTTTAACTTGGTAAATGTAGTTAATTGTGGTCTGGTAATTAGTGAAATAAAAGTAGGAAGATAACTGTTTCTTTAATTTAATTAACAAAAAATAAATACGTTAATGTACATGCTAGGCAACCCAATATACAAAGTACATCTACAAACGATATATAAAATAAGTACAGTTTCGAAAGTCCGTGCGATTCTTACTGATTTGCACATCAGCTGTAGAATGACTAAATCTGGTTTAATAATGCAGCAAAGTTAATGCGACTGTAGTTACACATCAATATCCCATGATGCTTCGCAATTATTCACTTCATTTTTCATCGACAAATTTCAAACCAATCGATAAAAATTTATTTACAAAAAAACGAAGAAATAATAATTAATGAATTAAGATAAACAAAAAAAAAACACAATGCATAATACAGAAAGAGAAAGCTGTATAGAAAAGAAGTAATTTAAAAAAAGAAGCGACTACGTTTCAGATATGTACATAATAACAAAAAAAATTCGATTTAAATATAAGAATAAAAATATATAATGTATGTATAAAATAAAAAAATAATAATTATTATTATTACGTAATAAACTAGGATAATATTGTGACTAAGAGATTGGATTCGATTACTAATCACATCCCGCTTCTGTTCTGACTCAAAACAGATTAAACTAATAAATAATTCAATTAACGTAACGTAAGCGAATTAAGTGATGTTTTCTTTTAGTTTTCTTTTTTTTTTCTGGAACGCACCAAAGTTTCGATTCGAAGGAAGCGAAATTCGCGAAGGCATTTGAGGTGGAAATGTCTTTGCGGATTTGCTGGGAATGTCTAGTGCGTTCCATTAAAAACATGTAAATGTATAAAAAAATAATAATAAAATAATAGTCAATGTTATAAACTTGGACTTGGTATTATCCTCTGGATCCTTCGAAGTATCCTCCGACGCCTCTGGAACCAGAGCCTATCATTGTTTGGAAAGACTGGGCAGCTCCCTAAAAGAAGATAGGATTTTAGTTACGAATTATAAAATAGTTTTTGTTTCAAGTATGAAACCAACCACCCCCAAAATAAAAAATAATAATAATAGTGATGGACCTTAATATGTAAATTAACGGAAAATGTTATATATAAAAAATAAATTATATAAATAGGTAGATGAGTTTGGTTTAGAGCTGCTATCCCTGATGTCGGTGCTACGAAGATCGAAACTTTCAACGAGATATTTCTAAGCGTGGTCCACTTTTATTTGGATTACATACGTTATTTTATGTCAAGCGACAATTAATGTTAGACTCGTTTCTTTCAACAACAAAAAATGTACAATTAAATATGGAATCCAAATGCATGGTAAAAAGACATGTTTTAGGTGTACCACGAATACATAGGTAAATGGATAAATGTCAAGAGAAATTTCAGTTATAGTATAAATAAGTCATGCTTAGAATATGTGAGTAAGAGTATTTAGTCACAGGGTTGATGATTTCTCTTTCGTTCGTAGAGTAGTTCTTATTACCAAGTTCATATTTGACTATATTCTATCTAAGCTGTTCACTTTTGCAACTGTTTGGCTAAAATATCTTTGTATGTGTGTGTTGGGACTAAACTAGGAACTTGAAGACGCAGCGCCGAAATTGCCCGAACCATTCGCTATCATCGAGGCGACTTGTCTAGCAGCCACCTAAAAAAAGAACAACAAAACAAACATAGCAACTCAAGTACAAACAAAACGTTTTCTCTCTTTTTAACAATAACTTTCTTTTAATACCTGCAATAGAAAAGCTATTTACAACTATATTAATCTGAACTTTGAGGAAGAACCAGATTGGAAACGTACCTGGATTGCTGATCCGAGGAAAGTCGAAATGGCCCTAGTAACATTCACGGCAGCATTGAGGAAATTTCCTCCTACCATTGGACTATTATCATTAACCCCGGGTACTGGGTCTAAAGAGACTGGAGGCAAAGTGATTCTTGAACCCCGAGTCACAGGCCTTGTATGCACTTCTTGGGTCGTCGTTACCACTCGTGGTGGTCTTGTAGTTGGATCTTCTTCAATACTATTTATCGTACTCGCCCTAATCCTAATTTAAAAAATATTAAATTATCAAAATTATTCTAAATTTTTTTTAAACATTACCTTTGGGAACCGCTGTATGCTTTTGGGGCTCTCGTCACTTTATTGGAACCCGAAGAACCAGAAGAGATGATCTCCACGTTTTTGGTGCCCTGATCCGTAGGATTTTGCAGATTCTTGAACGGTGTCAAATCTAAGTTACGTACTTTGGCTGGATCCTTTTGGATAGCTTCCAGCTGCGCTATAAGATTAGCCAATTCCGCGTCGGAGAGCGCGTTCACTGGTCGCTTTCCTCTGGTTGTGGTTTCCACATAAACGGGTGTACTGTCGGTAGATTCGCGGATCAATTCTTCGTATTCGGTTGTCGTCACAACAACAGGCCTAGGTCTCGGTTTTGGTTTCGGCCTTCTGGTTGATGGTGGAGGCGCCAACGCATTCAAAATCCAGTTCAAACCCTGCGCCAATCTTCCTGGAGGTCTTTGGGTCGTGATTCTTGGTCGTCTCGTAGTGGTGGGTTCATTAAATAAGTGCTGAAAGTAATTAATTATTAATATCAAATTAAATTTTCGTATAAATAGTTAATACATTTTGCCTAATTTGATCTCCGAGCGATTTTGGAGTGCTTGGTTCAATGCCGCGTTCTTTCAAAATAGCTGCCAAAATAGCCTCTTGACTCTTTCCATACGTCGAGACGATGGTTGGGTTAGTAACGCTGGTTACTCCGTTATCGTTCAATTGCTTGATGATACTTTCAATTTCGTTTTTAGAATCCACTGCTGCAATCCTCTTGGGTTGTCTGCTGGTAGATAACGCTTCAACTATGGTCACGCCTGGATTCGTGGTTGTTTCAACTGGAGGCCTAAAAGTCGTGGTAGTTTCCTTATCTCTTTCAGCCGCGAAAGATAGAATCTACAAAGAAGTAAATTACAAATTATGTTAACTCGTTAATTATTTATATCCACATACTCTGCTTGCCAAACTGCTTGGGGTCGACAATTTTGGTTGTTTAGTAGTCAATTTAGGTTGTTGTCCACCAAAGTTCTGAAATTAATATTGTTACTTAGACTACAAAATTATAGAATATTGATCGGAATGTTACCAAGTTGGTTAAGAATGAGAGTTGTTTAAGAATAGCCGCCTGCTCGCGTTCCAACGCTTTAAGAGCTTCCAAATCTTTGAGTTGCTGATCGGATAATTTTTTGTTCGATTTTTTAACTAGATCGTCGAGGTCCACGTCTTCTGGTTTAAATCCAAGTTTTGTTGTTGGCACGAAAGTTGTTGTTGAAATGTAAGTTGTCGTTGGTAAATACGTGGTTGTACTTGGAGGAAGAGTAGATCTTCTTCTAATTGGGGCACCAGTGGTAGTCTCTAAACGTCTCTTTGACGGAATGTGCGTGGTTGTGGGTGGAAGCGTAGTTGTAGTTCTGATTGGAGTTGTTGTTGGGGCTTCTGTGGTAGTTGTGATCATTCTTGTCGTAGTAGGCATAGTGGTAGTGGTTGGTAGTTCAGTTGTAGTGGGTGGTTGAGTAGTTGTAGTTGTAGGCATCGGTGTAGTGGTTGGAATTGGTGTAGTGGATGGAGGTTGAGTCGTCAATCTGGCGGTTGTACGACTTCTTGCAGTTATGGTAACAGTAGGTGCAGTATCTTTTATTATGTTGTCGTTATATGTTGTCGAGACGAATGGTGTAGTTGGAGCGAATGTAGTTGGTACATAAGTTGTAGTCGGCGTGTAGACTGGACGCAGAGTGGATAAGAATTGCGATATGAACGAAGCCAAATCAGTGGTGGTATACGGATTGAAGGTAGTTGTTCTATAAGTCGTTGTAATTGGAGCTGGTTCTGTGGCTTTCACAGTAGTTGCAGCTTCAGTGGTAGTAATAATCTTCATGGTTGTTGTTGCAGCCTCCGTGGTTGGAGCTTGTGTAGCGGTTGTAGCTTCAGCGGCTTTGGTTGTTGCAGCTTCAGCGGCGTTTATTTCATTATCAGCATCCTCAGTGTTAATTCTCGAAGAGACCTATAATCCACGACAGATTTATGTAATTACTGGAAAGTAACTGAAGATTAGTAGTTAGAGTCAGTAACTAAGCAAGTGTCTTTCCAAGGTGTATATACATTAAATAAGTTATTAACATCATTAGTCACAAGTTAGCAGTGCTTTGTTAGCACTTAGTGCATTAGGAGGATAGTAGACGAAAACACAAAGGATCATCAAAAACATAAAACTGGAAATAGATATGTTTAAAACAATGACGTCGATTAAATTGCAGTAAATTAAGTAAAACATATTATTGTTTTCTGTTAAATATAATCAGTTTCTGTTATGAAAATAGATTAAAAAAAAACTGTTAAGTTTTTCTCTGTATCTTTCTGACTTACGACGCTATCATCTACATCTAAAAACTCTCTCCTAATCGGCCTCCGTCTCCTGACCAACTTTCTGTTTTTAGTCCTTACAATCTGCAAGGTACATTTACACAATTCATAACAATAGAGTGATCTGCATTAGGAATTCCGTCATTAGGAATCTTAGTACATTTGTATCTAGTCTAAAACCCGTCCAGTTACCGGGATTTGCTTACCAATGTGTCGTTATTTACGGCCAAAGTATAGGCCGCATTGCTTTGATTTACAATCGTTTTGAATTCTTCAACGGTCTTTCCGCCCAGCAGACCAGTCAAAGTCGTAAGATCTTCGGTTGGGGTCGTGGTGGGTGTTAAAGTCGTCGAACTCGTTTCTGGTGTTAAAGTCGTCGTTAACATTTCGGACATTGCCATCATCGTTGGTGACAATGTCGTTGTTGTTGTGCTTGGGGATGATGTGGTAGTAGTAGTAGTTGTAGTAGTTGCAGCGGTAGTTGTTGTTGGTGTTGATGTTGTAGTAGATGTTGTTGTTGTCATGGGAGATGGAACTTCCAGACTGTTACCAATGTCTAAAGACAATTGATTCGCGGCAACATCGTTAGCCTAGAAACAGGGTTGGAATTCTAATACCGATTTTGGAGTAGGTTTCTAAGGATGATGAACTATTTCCATTATTTTACTGACTGGTAATGAGTTGTTAGCTGCGTTCCTTTTATCAAATTCAAGTGTTAAAATATTCCTTTATGATAAAATTGATTTTTCTTTTTTGTTTTCACGTAATAATCTTGATTAAATATTAATACTTTTAGATCCATGAATATGAGATACTTATCTTCAAATTTAATTCATTAATTTGTTTGTTATATTCTTAAATTCGCTGGTGTTTACACAAATAATATTCAATTTCGATTTTGACCTACGTTGAAAATGTTTCGAAGTGTTGTTTCATTTATATCTTTGTTTTTAATTAATCGTTTAGCACATAAATTATAAGCGAAGAAACAATATTAAAATTAATAAAACGAAAGTAAGAGAGAAGTTATAATAGTTTTTTTTTGTTGTTGTTGGTTTCTTCATTAGAATTGTTGTAAATCAGACGAGATGATTTTGCAAAGTATTAATAGTTTTAATCAATTTTATCTAGATGATGATTTTATTTATTGATTTGAATGGGTCACCTGATTTGTTAAACAGTAGACAAAAAACATGTAGTGTTAACGAAGTCCAATTAAAGAATCTCGATTTGAAATACAAAAACTTAAACATCTCGAAAATTATTCTTATATTTGTTCGAGAGTTTTTACTTGGACTCGCGTGCTTATTAATTCAATTAAAACATTTAGATTATTTAATTAGCACACAGATTAAGAACGACTATTACGTTAACTAATTAAACTTATGCATATATAAAAAACGCGATACGTCGAGTGAACAAATTGTGTAACGAAATGAGTTTCAAAGCTATGTAAAAGTATCAAGAAAGTTCTAAAGTTTATTCACGTTTTATTTTAAATTAAATTAATTTCAGTCTTATAGTTGAATAAAAATATCTTCTTTAAAATATATTATAAATCTAATTTTTTTTTTAATATGAAATTTTGTATATATTTTTGATTATTATCTTCTAAAAGAAAATGAGTTTAAATGTTATGTAATAGTATGAAAAAATTATTAGATTTTATGGTTTAAATATTCAATATTTAGTTGTAAAATTGTTATAGTTTAATATAGTCTTCTCTAAAATTTAGCAGTTTAATTCAATGTAATTATATTGATGTATGAATTAAGTAATAAATTGATTTTATTTGATGATTCGATGTCGTTGCATAAATAACTGAAGTCTTATTATTACTAGTCTTATAAAACTAGTTTCTCTACGTAATATGACAATTATTCAACTTACCTTTTTTCTTCTGTATATACAGTTTAACTGTTCAGAAATATCTCTGAAACTCAGTTGGTTACAAAAAGTTTACGTGAATGAAAGAGAGAGACCGTGAATTTCGGATTCGTTAGGTAAATCAGGTGACAGATGAAACAAATGACTAGTGAATAAACAAGAAGCGTGGTGCGAGACAAATATAAATAAAGTTGATGAGAATGAGAGATAGAAGCGTAGTGCGAATGTGGTCCATCACCAGGCAAAACAAATAAGTTAATAACATAGAATACCCTCGCGTCATCCATTCCTTGCTCAGTTACTCGATTGGTTATGACTGTTTGGTAGGGCAGGGGGTCACGCGTATCGAAACCACTTACTTGAACGACAGGTTCTTCGGGCACGATAGTCCCGTTGGGAAATTTATGGACAATAGTATTATTTGGGTAAACGCCAACGATCAAGAACGGCGCCCTTTGTCGCATCGGTGGTCGTTTCCTGACGATCGTGTTATTAGGCAGCACAGCGAATATGAAATAATCGCTCGATCTGGGCGTCGTCGTCGACGAAACAGCGATCGGTCGAGGCTGTGCCTGAGGTTGCGGCGACACCAGATCATTGGTTACCTGCTCCTGGATGACATCCGCATCCGGTAGCAGTTTTCCCATTCTCTGTGGAAACGAGCCACGATTCAGGATCGTCACCGTGGTGGCCTCCTCTTCGTTGGACACAGCCTCGTTGCCGGATGTTATTTGCACGCTGCTTAGACTTACTTTGAATTGCTCCGTAGTTAGAGGAGCCTCTGTCGTCGGTTTTTCAGTTTCGATCAAGTTCGCGGTTAAATCGATAGTCGTCATTTCAGGCATCTCCGTTCCTGAAATCGATGCTTGGGGGGTCGTGCTGGGATTCATTTCGGTTACAGGGGATTCACTTGCCTTCTTTGATTCTAATTTAACCTCCGTGGTCTGTTCAGGTTTCTGTTCGGTGGTCGATTCAACAACACCCATTTCCGTTGAAGACTCTACCTTCGCTACAGAATCAGTCGAAGCTTCGATCTTTGCTTCAGTAGTACTTTCAACTTTCATCTCCTCTGCAATTCTAGATTCGATTGGAGCTTCCGCTTTCACTTCCGTCGCAGTCTCGATTTTCATTTCAACTGCAGCTTCGATCTTTGCTATAGTTGTCGGTTCTACTCTCATTTCAGTCGTAGACTCGACTTTCATTATGTCGGCAGAAGTCTCAGATTTGATTTCAGTCGAAGCCTCAACCTTCATTTCAGTTGTAGATTCAACCTTCATTTCAGTAGAAGCCTCAACCTTCATTTCAGTTGTAGATTCTACCTTCATTTCAGTCGTAGATTCAACTTTCATATCAATCATAGATTCAACTTTCAATTCAGTTGTAGATTCAACTTTAATTTCAGTAGAAGCATCAACCTTCATTTCAGTTGTAGATTCGGCTTTCATTTCAGTCGTAGCTTCGAGTTTCATCTCGGTGGTTGATTCAACTGTAGCGTCAGTCGTTAAATCAACTATGGCTTTCAATGTAGGGCTAATAGTGGTTTCCATTGGAGCGTTGGTTGTTGCTTCGACCTTGATTTCAGCAAATCTCGATAGAATCTCAGCGTTTTGCTGTGTATTCTGTTCGGTAATCATCCCAGTACTGGATTCCATAGGGATTTCGGTTGATAATATTATGTTGGTACTTTCTGTTGTTACCTTTTCAGTTGGGTTCTGCATTACAGTTGTAGTTATTTCGGATTTGGTGGTAACTTCGGGTGTTGGTTCTGGAGAGGTGATGGGATTCGCTTGGACGGTGGTTGTAGGTGGATTAGTGGTAGTGATGGGGGATTCGGTTGTCGTGGGTATGTTAATACTGTTATCGACAAAGTTTATCTCGGTGGGATTGGTAATTTCCAAAAAGTCGGTGAAATCGAGGGAGGAGACAGTGGATGGATTGAAGTCAGCGCTGAGGCTGACTGTGTTGGCGAAGGATGGTGGAATCGTGCCGGGGCTTATCGAGAGGCTGTTGACGAGGTCGGAGACGTCGTAGAAAGTAGATGGAAGAAGAGTCGTAGATTTGGGAGAGCCAAGGGAGGCTATGTAATCGGCCAAAGAGATGGCGACAGTGCTGTAGGGTTGCGGTGCTTCGGTTGTCGTATGTTTTGGCTTAGGTTTCAGAAGGTTCAACAATTGCCCCAAGGTGCCACCGTGTTTCGGAGATAGTGCTTTTAGCATGCTCTCGGTTGTACCTACATGATCGGTGGCCTGAATCGCCGACAGAGAACTCAAGATCCTCTCAATTATAGTCGTAGGCTTCTCCGTGGTCACCTCCGCCACCTTCGTCGTCGTTTGTTCTAAAGTTGGTTTCTTGCTGGCAATCTTTAAAATTGCCGAGGACTCCGTGACGCCTTTGCTGGAGGCGCCGTCCTTCTCCTCGCCCGGTTTCGTCGTCGTGGATATCGACGTTATCGAATTGATAATTCGTTCGATTATTGATACAGGTTTTGATTGATCGTTTTTACCGCCGTCGGGCACCTTTAAAACGTAAAAATACCACATCAGTTCCGCGACACCTCAAAATACCAAACACTACAGTTTCTACATTTACCAGGTTCGTTGCGTTTTCGCTAATCAGATTATCGGAATAAAGGGAATTCACGGGTTCGTCGATCGAAATCACCGGGAAACCGTCCAGTTCTCCTTGAATACCTCGGACCTACAAAAACCGCACGTGCGTCTTCTCTTTGATTTCGAATTACAACAACAACAACAACAGAATATGATGGAAAATGGATGAGAGTTCGGACAGTGAATACATTCCTACCGAGATTAATTGTGCTCGATACGGTTTTAGTACTTTACCTAAATCCTCATACATTCCGGTTAAATTTGCAAATAAATAATCATTCTTTTAGTTACCTGTTTTTAATTTTAAATAAATAAATAAACAGATTTGTGCTGCAAAGAATGTTAAATGAAATAATAAAAATAATAATAAATAACTCGTACTCTTTGTTTAGTTCAATAAATAATGGGCTATATACAAACGCATGAGCGTGGTGAATATATACAAATACTTCGTAATCGGAAAAATCAGACAGACATTACAAAATATGCTTTGTTTATTTGTGCTCCCAACAATATTAATAATAAAAATAATAATAGAAATAATAATAATAAAAAAATATAGTACACCTCAAACAATTATTAGATAATACATAAGAGTATTACAAAGAATACATAAAATATTTTTAATACATACAGAATTTCTTTTTGTCAACTTGCAGCATTAATTGCAGACTGTTAATTTTCGATAAAAAAAACTTTGGTATAATCAATACTGGGATTTATTTTTAATTTAAACTTTGATATCACAATAATTTTGTACATTCCGATTTCATTTTAATGCTGTAAGTTTTTACTTTCTAACTAAATTAAAGCTCAATAAAATAAAATATACTTTGAAATCTCTCTTGATAAAAACCTTGATTATTTTTGTGGTAATATTTGTAACATTTACAATTGATTAAATACAACTTTATATTGATAAAACTTTTGACTACTTCAAATTTAACTCAATTAATAAAAATATCTATAATTACATAAATAATTAGAGATATAAAAAGCAGTGAATGTGAATCAATTGAAGAAAAATAAAACTTTTGTCCACTCAAAAAAGATTTCATTGTATGTATATATATATAACTGTCATATTTTATAATTATTACATTCATGTGGTAAAGATATATATTTCTGATTGATGTAAACTTATGAAACTGCAAAATCTAATTGCATATTGGCTTTAAATATAAACATAGACAATTATAATAATAATAAGTTGGTACTAATATAATAAAATTGTGGGTGTTAATGTATTAATAATATACAAAATATTTATATACTTATGTTTTGGTTAGTATAATGTTAAGTTTTTCTTGCTGTTTTTTTTTCTTGTAGTTTATTTACCTGCACCTGCGTATTTGTATGTTTGTATGTGAATGAGTGCAATATGTGAAGCAGAGTGGTGGAGAGTAGTGGTTGTACTAGAAGAAGAACAAGAAGAAGAAGCAGTGTGTTCGTATTGTCCAACCCCCTTCACACGAGTTTATTGAAGGACCACCGGTTTGGTTCCATTTCGGACCACACGAAATCCTTCGACAAAGACAAAAGCAATTAGACTCAGAGTCAGAGGCAGCACACAACCAAGCAACTTTCTTTTGTTACCATCATTTGACGACAGCCTCAGTCGCCAAAACAAAAACATAGGGGGCAAATTATTTATTAATTTATATCATTAATGTTTTGTTTTCTTTTTTCATCATCCAAGGTGTACTATTTTTTTTTAATTATTATTAATGTCGGTGCATATTTTATACAGATTATCAATTTACAAAATTGAATGCAATTTTTGTTTCTTATTTTCTTTTTTCAAAGTATTTTCAGAATTTGTATACATTCCCAAATTGGAATAAAGTTAATGAAATATAAACCCAAAATATTTGTTCTGTATGATATTGTATGTAAATATATATATAAAAAGATAGTTTTACTGTTTGCAAGTGCGTCGGAGGATGCAGGCGAAAATATCACCTATCCAAGCAAACGGACGACGACTTACCTGCTGACCAGATGGAGTTATTGTTGGTACGGTGGGGACATAAACTGGGGTCGCGGTGGAAGCCCTCACCGGAGTCGAACGGGTTTCACCACGATACCTCGAGCTGTATCTATTGGCCTTCTTCACCGTCACCTGAAAACAGAAGCAACAAAGCAATTTTAAATGAATGATTAAATTCATAAAATAATTTAGTAAAAATGGGGCTAATACAAATTAAGCAAAGTAAGACATGTAATGAAGCAATTAAAAAAAAAAGCTTTACTTGTTAGTACACGAAAACTCCTAAGCAATAAAATAAATTGCTGACAGAGAATTGAATATCACTGATAAATTGTATATAAGTTGAAACTGTTGATAAATTATATAAGAAACAGAAAGAGAACCGTGATTCCCATATAAATATACAAGTAGTTAATTTATTGTATAATAACAAATTACTATAAAAAGTCGAATATTTGAAATAAAAATAATTTTATATAAAAAAATTGTTCAATGGTTTGTCGTAAATAAGAATCTTATGCAATGTTGTTATAAAAGACAAGTATTTTATGTATAAGCAAAAGTTGATGTTATTATTCAAATATGTATGTAAAGTAGATATTAATTGATGTTTTTCGTAAAATAATCTTGATAAATTGAAGAAAGAATTAATGATGCATGTGGGAAGGGTGTGAAATGCATTAATCAAGTTTGAATTGCAAACGTTGTTTGGGGTGAAGTAATTGAAATGCAGTTGCGAATGAATGGTGCGAATGGGAGCCAAGGAATGATTGGTAGGTTCAGGTGTGAGAATGAGGAAAGTGTGAATAGGTATCGGAGAGAGCGGAAGATTACGTAAATGGTGTGAACTAGATAAGGATGTATGGGCAAATGACATAAACTGTGCGCACCTTTACAGATTCTAAAACTAGTTTACCGAGTTTATTGAAACTGAAGGATGGATCTAATTAGCCGGAACAAAGGATTTGATTGCGTTCATCGATGCAGAAAGAGCATAACTTATTATTAATTATTAATATTCAAAGATAAGATAAGTTTAAACTTATAAATATGCATTATAAATTACACATCAAATTCAATTTAAGCGCTTATAAATAATAATTTTAGATATATTCATATTATTATTACATTACAACCTCAATAATCAATAATAATCTAGTATTAAATAAGACAAATCCAAAGAAAGTATAAACTTATAAATTAATTTCTGTAAAACTTTCAACAATTCTCTGTATGTAATCATGTGTTGAACAATATTACTAATTAAGTGATTAAATTCACTGTCATTTATTTATGAATCATCTTGGAAATTTCGCAAAATGTGTATGCAAAAAAAAATGTAGCAACTTTCGCTTTACAAAAATATCACTTAAGAATGTCACCACAAAGTGGTTTGTAAATGCAACAACAAATACAACTAATTCTAACAATAAGATTTTTAATGGATCTAAATCTTGATGGAAGTTTTAACATTATTGAAATCACGAACAAAACAATGTGATATAAAACGTGATTTATTTTTATAAATTAATTAAAATGAACGTGGGAACAATAAATAATCATTCGTATGTTTTATAAGAAAATGTACACCACGTATTTACTTTTAATTGGGAGACATTAAGTGAAGATGCAAGATGATTTTTGTTTCACTTTGCTTCAAGTATTATATATTTACTTAATTTATTATAAATATATATAACAGTTAAATATGAAAATTTTAGTAGAACATATGCTTCATGTTTTTTAATTGTTTTTAGAAAGAAAAACTTAATTATTCTTTAAGACAAGTATTGAGATGAATTACATAATAAGTTCATTTCTTATACCCATTAGATATTTCCTATTTTCTGCAATTGTGAATATATTAATAATTAATTACTTTATAACGATTTGCACTAATTTAGTCTGTATGAATTAATACTCTATTAAGTTTATACCATATATCTATTTCCTATTCATTTTATTTTATAACAATGTATATATCAAAATAAAATTTGTAAACTTAATTATGAAAAATAATGGATTTGTATTTACATTGACTCATTAAAACTTGGATTGAAACGTATAATAAAATATCCACAAGAAAGTTATTTGCGTAGCTGAATTAGAGCATAAAATATACGTTAAATCTCGGAGAATTTAACCATTGACAGAATAATAAACGCAACAGCAAAAAAAAAGCACGCGCAGAGCATTACATAAAATAAAGCGATTGCTTCTCTTTCACGACAATTATTACGATTCGCAGCAAAAACTCGGTAATTACTGAAAGAAGGAATTACGCTAAAGCCTAAATCAATATTAATCAGCTACGAGATTTAATAAATTCGTGACATAATTTTGAAATAATTAAATCCCGCGCCTTTCACTGTTCAACTACCGATTTCCGCACACAAATAACAATTATTCAATAAATAATTATTCCGAAAAAAAAGTGAATTTATGAATACGTACAATGGCTTTAAGCAGCGTTTCGCAAATGCATATTTATAATAATATAACACACAACAATTGCAACGCATTGCGACACGACGAAATGAATTTCGGAATGGCGATAAATGCTGCTTGCCTATTTCGAAATGTCACCGAAAATTTCCAATTGACAGAGCAAATTGATTGTTCGACTTAAGAACACTGCTGTAGTTTTGAAGATAATTTGCGTATCGTGCGCTCGCGTAGTTTCACTTTCCAACTGTTATTTAATGTGGATTAATGTGCAGTTGTGACTTTTGTATTTTAATAATTATCGTCTTCTCTGTTTCTGAGCAGAAAAGTCGATTACAATTGAATTTCACTAAGTCATAACTGGAAGAGAAATCTCCAAAGAATGCCGATGATGCGCTGTGACCCAAAATAATTGCTGCTTACCTGAGGCAGTTGAGTATTTCCATCGATTTTGTTGGAGCGAGGTATGGGTTTTCGTTCTTCATGTTTGATGCTTTTCCTGGTGAAGGTCGGTCTTGAGCTCGGCTTGGGGCTCGTCTTCTCGACACTGTCCTCGCTTTTCGCAACGAATCTTGCGTGGTAACGTCCAGACGTTTTCCTAGTTGCAGGTCTCTTGCTCGTTACTTCCGGTTGATCTATGCGTAGCTTAAGAGGCGCATCCGGTTTGTATTCGCGTCTCTTAGTTGAGAAGCGACGTCTCGGCGTTTTCGGCGTTGCCACCAACTCGTTCTCATCATCTTCCACCTAAGACAAGTCCAAAATGATGTTAATAAAGAGCAAAGGTGGCGGCGGCTTAATTGCAAGAGATCGGAACGACCTATCGACGCAAAGTGAAAGTTCGTGAAAAAACATTAAACGATGCAGCGATCGGAAAATTACAAACTAACTACCTTTAATGTTATGGTATTAAAAGAACAACGAATACATACATTAAATGGTATTGGTGATGATGATGGTAAGACAGCAGCAGTAGACGGTCGTATAGTAGTTGTAGAAGTAGTAGTGGTAGAAGTAGTAGTTGAAGAAGTTGATGGTATATTAGTTGTTGTCGAAGAAGGTTTTTGCGAAGTTCTCAATGATGATCGCGGTTGAGAACGTTGTGATGACGAGCGAAAGGTTATTACAGGGGTCGGTGGGATACTTGGATAAATTGCGGTGCTTGTTTTGAAAGCGCCGATTGGAATATTTTCAAATTCGTTCGAATGTTTTAAAGGTTTTCTTAATTTAGCAGTAGTCGCCTTTTTGGCAGGCGGTGGACCGGTAGTGGTAGGAACAACGCTAGGATAATTAGCGGTAACAGTTTTGATTGGAGTAATTACAGATTCTGTGGAATATCTTAAAGGTTTTCGCGATTTGGTAGAGGTATGCTTTTTAGTAGGTGGTGAAATGGTTGTGGAAGTGGTAGTAGTTGATATTGTGGTGCTAGCAGTGGTAGAACGTTGCGTGACGCGTTCTTTTCTACTTGGTGTTGTAGATGATGAAGAGGGTTTTGGTGCAACGGTAGGAACGCTCGCAACAATCCTCTCGGTATGCGCGATTCTTGACGCCTTAGCGGAAGGCAAAAGGGAAATTAAAAACGACAGTTGATTAAAGAAGATCTTACAATACCTTTTTGCCCTTTTCTTCCTTGGTTTTGGCTTGGATCAAAGCCTTGAACTGAGGCGGGTAGTTGTCAGTATCGTCCACTTCATCAGAGTCATCCTTGGATTTAACGTTGGTCAATTGAACTTCGGATTTGGTTGTTCCCCTGTCCAACAACTTCTTCTTAACCTCTACCTTTTTCCTACGCATGACCTTCCTTGTCGAAATGACTTCACTGACCTCGCTCTGAACAGTTTCCTTGGTGATGGGTTTCTCTGTAACTTGCTTAGTTTCGGTGGTGATTTTATTTTGGCGAGAGGAAATAGTGACAGAACGGGACGTAGATGTGGGAGGTGGTGCATGTCTGATGGGGTTTTCTACTGTAGACGAAGCCACAAATTCATCGACTGGAGCGCGAGTTCTGCCTCGTCTGCTCGATGTTCTTGGTACAACTTTTGGTTCAGCTTCAAATAAAGGCAAGACCTCAAGTTTGGTTTCATCCACAACGTTAAATCTAGCCCTTGAACGACCCCTGGAAGAGCGTTCCGGTCTTGGAGTGGTCGAAGCTTCAACCGTTTTAACTGATTCTTTAACATTATCCGGACGAGTATTAATTCTTCTGCGAGATGGTTGCCTGGTCGAAGCCGCAGCTTGCGTTTCGGTTTTTCTTCCCCTCGATGTTGAAGTCCTTGATCTGGTTTTCTGAGGCTCAATTTGTTCCGTTGTTGTGCTCACTTCTACTTTCCTTCTTTGAGAACCAGTGCGCCTTTCATTCCTTGGCTTTGCAGAAACTTCCTCTTCGTTTTCTAGGATGGATGGTCCACGTCCCCTAAGCGTTTCCTTTTCTGGACGTCTGCGGCCTGCGCGAAAATTCGTCCTTGAGCTACTCGTTGTAGACTCCGAAGAGTCTTCCTGCTTCCTGTTGGTGCGAACCCTTGTGCGAGTACGTGCCGCCGTTGGAACAGATTCAGTTGTTAAAGCCGGTCTTTGTCCTCTGCGTAAATTGCTACCACGGCGCGAAGAAGACGCTTCAGTGCTTGGAGCTGGGGTTGTAGTAGTGGTTGTTGTCGATGAACTAGTGGAGCTGATCTTCTCAACTTCATCCATCTCCAATTGCATGGTGGTAATATCAACATCTTCTGGAAGCTCTTTCTCTGGGACATCGTTGAAAGGTTTGATTGATTCTTCAGGTGGAGCGGTTTCAGCAGCTACCGGCGCTGGTTCGAACAACTTAGTTTTCGGTGCGTTTGTTGCTTCAAATTTCGTTTCCGTTATTACTCTTGGCTTCGCTATTCTTCTGGTAGTTTCCGGTATATCGTCGACAACTTCCTCCACTTCGTACAGTCTTCTCGCAATGGGGGCATTCTGTTTCTTGGCTACTTTCGGAGTGGTTCTCTCCTGCTCGGTGACGGCTTGCGCGAATTCCGGCGTCTTCACGAATCTGGCTCTGCCTCTACCTCTGACAGCTCTTTGGGTGACTTCTGCAGCATCGGTAGCGTCGATCTTCTGGAACAGATAAGTTTTAAGGTCACTCGTAAACTTGATACAGAGAGTTTCAGCGTTAGAATTGAAATTGGAAAGGAAACGAGGTATGCATGCATTCAATATGTGCACGACTCGGCCTTGCCGGACGGAATTTTTGCAACTAATTCCCGTCCATAATTACAATGATCACTTAATGTATCCAAATGCACAGGTACACGGAATTATCGGCTTTCTTGCGAAGGAAAAACGAAAAGGGAAAACCGTTAATGCGCGCTCCGCAGATAGTTTTTCATTCGAGCACAAAAAGGGAAACTCGCCTTTGGAAATCCGGTGTATTCATAGAGACAAAAAGAGAGAGAAAATTAGTTCTTTAATTTCAATCACGACCGTGCATGATCCTTGAGATTGTACGCATTTATCCGATTCGTGTGTTCGTCTGGTTCTTTGTAAACTCTTAAACGGTGTTTGCATTCGCTGCGGGTGTTCGGAGCGAGAATGAAAGTGGTCCACTTTTGGTCACCGCGTTCTTACGCAATCCTCTCGATGGTATTAGGATCAGAGGATTGGCTTTGCGGAACAATACACATAACACACTTTAATATCTCAAATGATAACATTTATCGAAAACGCTATTCCCCTTTTACTAAAGAGCAACAACTACAAAAAAAAACAAATCACACTTCATGGTCACATTTAATTAGGCATCTGATGGTCGACACATTAATTATCCTAAATTGATCTTTAAAACTGCATTCTATAGCTTTATAATTAAATTAAATGCATTCAAATGTAACCTAGAACTAATGATTATTATTTTTATGAATATAATTATTTCTAATGAAATTAATGTAGGAATTCAAAATAACTCTTATAGTAATATATTAGATAAACCTAAATATAACATATTCATAGTTAATCTTTTGTTTTTCATACATATATAATATTTCAAAATAATAACTTCAGTTAGATTTGATAACCATCAATTTATTCTCAATGTATTTATAGAAATTAAATTCAAGACACACATGATAATATCTTATTTGTTCTTAATATGACCCAAATATAATATGTGACATTTATAACATTACAAAATAATTACAACTATCTGAAATGTCATATAATGTCATTTTAATACCATAAATTATACGTAATAATGAATTAGATTATTTAACGATTTGATTATTCTAATATACTTTAATTAATTTAGGTCTGTGCAAGGTCAAAGTTTATGTGGAATTTGCCCAAATTTTCAATTCAAAGAAATATATGATAATTTTAATCGATACTATAATATTGGTCAGTTATTATTCGACCTTGGGATTCAATCAAAATAATGTTGAACCAAATTCAGTCTATATGATTTGTTATTTATTAAATAACATATCGAACATGTTTAAACCAATGTACTTTTTCTTTGTAAAAATATTACTAAAACTGGAGCAAATGTTATGAATCATAGCTTTTCTATCAACTTTCATTTCGTCTATAATAATACTATTACCCAAACATTAGTTTCTTTTTATTATAATAATTTACATAATTAAGCGATAATAACTCAATGTATGTAAGAAATAATGTAAATAAAAATTGATTTTTTTTTTGTTCTTAAAGTATACAACAAGTATGTGTTACAAATAAATAAATCTCATAAAATATTATTAGTTTACCAACAAAACTTGTATTCCGCTTCACACTACATGATTAGAATGTGATAAGTCATATTCCAAGGTGCATTGTTAGTAGGTTTTGTTCTTTTCCAACGTAACCAGAGGACATGACATTATTTTTGCAACGAAGGTAACGTGTATGAATTTATTCATTTTATTTCCCTAATTTTTAACAATTCCTGAATTTCTTCAAGGTTTGCTTCTATAAATGTCAGTTATAAAAATATTTTAGTACTCATTTGTCAAAATATTTTAATTATTAAGAAAAAAAGCAAACAAAAAATCAGAAAAAGCATATGTTGTATGATCACCAATTAATTTATTATCCTTGTCGCACTTTGCTTAACTTTCACTAGACAACATTCTAACTGATGTGAGCTATAATTATCAGATTGTAATAAATTCACATTTTTTATAGATTTTTCCATATTGCAAACGTAATATAATACTTGTTAATGAAATTCTATACATTATAACATATAGTGTCTTCAATTTAAATATATATAAAAAATAGGAACGTTTTAAAGGTCATTCTTAGAATTTATATCTAGATGTCTGGGATAAATAAAATTCCATTGCATAAACATTGACGAAAAGCCATAGAAAACTTGATTGCGTTGCGTAATCGACGCAAAGCATTTCGAACGGTCGCCATTCCGTTGCAGATATATACAGTTACAAACGTAAATAGCTCTTACCTATTAATCTGTAACAATTAATTGAACTTTTCTAATATTACAACTACCTACAATAGTATAAATTTCATTTAGTTTACAATACAGTTTCCATAAATAAGTTTATTTTCTTTCATCTTCAAGCGGGTACAAAACTGACACAATTTATCATAACCAAACTTTTTTCTGAAGATGTTTGAAATGTCACCTTTCAAAATATGTATACAAATCATTTGTTTTTAACAATTATGATTCCAATGCCTTCTATAAGAAAATTGACACCAACTCTTAGGACATCTCAAATATTATTTAACTCATTGCAAATTTATTATAAAATATACGAAGTGCTTAAATTGAATAATTTACGGAAATAGAAAAAAAAGTTAAATCTAATAAAAACTCGTGTTTTCAACAGAATCTTGCTTTATTAACTCTGTGTATGAAATACATTCTATTGTTTGTAATATAGTTTATGAAGCGGTGTTGTTTCTGCAGGAAAGTTCCAAATAAGGTTTCCAATTTAGGTATACACCGCCTTTCTTTCATTACTATGGGATACATGTAATTTCCTTGTTGTACAATTGTGGTTTACTTTTTTACGATCCGACCCGGTTTTCTGCGGCACATAAGAAACTTCACTAATTATTACTTGCATCTACAAAATCTCCAACTGCATTTCATTAATTTAAGTCCTACTTCTCTTTACAAACATAGACAAATCGTAATTATCACATTAGATTGTAATAGTCACGTAGTTTTGAAACAATTAAGTAAATACATAAAAATCATTGCATTTACACAACGTTTTTTTATTATCTATAAATATTAAGAAATACTTGTTAACGTCTTTCTTTAAGTACATTTTGATACATTACATTATTGTTATACATAGAACATTTTTGGTGTTAAACTTTTTACAATATTGAGAAAATTTAAATAACTATAATGATTAAGTTTAAATCTACTTAAGTCAATGGTATTTAGAATATTTTCTCAAAAGACTTCAATAACTGATTGATTTAAGTAATAATGAATCGATTAATTATGAGATTTGCTTTTGGAATTCTATAACTATGTAAACAATACAAATTTGAAAACGGATTAATATTGGTTAAAATTTTATAATAATGTCTTCACATTCAATACATAATTTACCAAAACTTCTTTTTCTTTTTTCAAAGAATATTGCAGTAAATTTTGTACCAAACTCGTCAATGTTAGTAGCAACTTAGACATGTTAAAATTTGAGCAAGTTCCTCATTCTTAATTCATTTTTTTTTTTCAAAATTTAATGTAATTTATATATACCTAAATATAACAAAATAATATTAAATTTAACATTAATAATCAGGTGCGAAGTGTTAACATAAGTGGTCTTAAACTGACTCCTTGGGGGTTCTGGAGTAGCATTGTTTGGGAAGCTCAAATAACCCAAATAATCCTATAAAAAAACATTCCTAAATCCGTCCTTGTTCATAATAGATCAAAAATCTATACAAATCATAATATAAGATGACTAAATTGTAAAATTTAACACAATTGTTGTGTTTTGTATCATCTAATATTCGAGTACAAATGTCTGAATTCAATTGCGTATCGCAATGATTATAAATAATATAAATGATTGCACATATAAAAATAATATTTATACGAGTCCATATCTAATCTATAAATAGAAATAATGAAACTATAGTTTAAATCATGATACTTTCAATAATATTTCCATAAATAAAGTAATAAGAATTTGCGTTTTTACTACTGATTACATTCAAAACAATTATACGTCTTTCTTACAAATTGTAGATATCTATGAACGCCATATATTTTGGTTTATTCATAATATCAGTAGTAATCAAAATTATTTATTTTGAAGCAGAAAAAAAACACTCAGAATAGATAAACTTTCTATTAATACATTAATTTAAAATAACATCAATTTACAATATTTTATGACTCATTTTTTTTTTAAATTTTAAACTATTGGTAAATAAAATTATTAAAAAAATAATACTACAAATATTGTTTTAGCATTAATTAATGTATTTTTTTACTAATTAAATCGATTATTTATACATTTTTGGAAGACAATTTAATCGTGAACAATTCATTTTTTTTATTGTTGATCTTATTGCAGAAAATCTTAATAACTTTATTTTTATAATCAAAATTATAAATGTAAAAGTACTTATTTTTTAAACTAATTATTAATTAATAACAACTTAAATTAAATTTACAATATTCTTTTAAATAATTATGAACAACGTTTAAAATAATTATAATCAAGTAAAAATTTAGTTAGAATGACAAAATAAATCAAGGTCGATTTAGCTTGAACAAATTATACATGCTACATTTTTGTTGCAGCAAATTTTATTGAGAGTGAACAAATTAAAACAAATTTCGAAATGAATTTATACAAGTAATGCGATTTACTGTTTACTTCCGTACTATTGATGTTGGAATGCTATTTACGAACTAATTCGGTTGTCATTGTAATTTTTCAAGTAAACTTGCTTCAAGGAAAGAACCAGATACATTTTGTTAATCAGAGCAAGTTTTTATTTATGTTTTGTTTGTTTCTCTTATTGGGCAAACGAGAATGCAAAAAACCGAAACCCGTTGATATTTGGCTCTGAATTCCCAAGAACAAGACAATTTGTTCATTTATTTTTACATGTAA